ATATTAATTTCGTTATCATGATTATATGCTGTTGACAGTATATTAGCAAAAAAACGTGCAATGTTGTCATTCGGAGACTTAATGGATGATACTATGGGACGCATGCACAATTGCGGTTTGTGAATTTTGGCAAACAGTAAAATCTCGGAGAGATACCATTGTAATTATTAAGAGATTTGGCTACAACATCCGTTATGAGATTGGCTGAGAACCATGTATTGCTCTTTATACATAAGGACAGTGGCATTACCCTTATCACTTTAAAGTACCAATAGTTCAGGATGGTCTTTAAGAAAAGTTCTAGTTTCATTATAAGCTCGATAAATTTCGGATTGTGATTTTTTTGGGGCATTAGTAAAATTAAATAAAATGTTATTGGCTGATGATCTTAATTGAGTGAGATCTGTAGATTCGGAACGTTTAAGAATGTTTTCGACATCAGATAATAGGTTACAAATTGAATAATCCTTCAGGGTTGGAGATAAGCCAAATTTAGGACCAAGAGCTAATAATTTAGCAACGTTGGGAGGAAGTTCAATTTCAGTAAGGTTTCTTAACGATTTCTGATGATATTTGATTTTAGAAAATGGGGTGGTACCTAGGTTGGCTCTCAAAGTATTTTCAGAGATTTGTTGAAGTTAAATTGAATTTGTCTATGAAGTCTAATGTCGAAATTGTGAACTATATGAGTAGGAAGGGAATTCCTGAGTTGGGCAGTAAGAGATTGGATTTGTTGAGTAACGGTTTTGATATCATGATGTACAGAGTGTATAGAAATGTTGACGAACTCTCACCTGAATTTCAGAATTGTCCACTCTGCGTCTAACTGAACCTCTGGTAGCTCTGAAGGTGGTGTTAACCATTCGATCGATCTGGTTTTGAATAAAAGTAGGTGTCTGTTTGCTCCTACGGCATTCTAACAAGAAAACTCTTCTAGCTTCAAGTTTCGCTAATTTGTGACCTAGTTTTGACCAATGTTTCAAAGATTTGACATTGTTATCTCCATATTCCAATCTGATGTTATGGAAAAAAACCTTAAAAAGACTCACTATAAATGAGGATATCGGTCAAGGAGAAATAAAAAATGAAAAAACTATTTCAATCTTTTACTAGAAAACGTTTTGTGCAGTATTTATGCACAACAAATTGACTTTTCTATTCTGTCCTGTAAATAAGTAATTTTGTTCATCAGTTAATTTTTTATACAGAGACTAATTTCCAAAGCCATTTTATTTTTTGTTTGTCTTTTCGGAATAGTAGATCACTATCTATCAAAAATAGTTCCTTTTTTTTCTTTTAATTACTTTGGTGTATCAAACAATAAAAATAACTTATTTCATACTTTTTTCAATAAAAATAGATTTTTCAAATTGTTCACTGAGCTCAAAAAAAAAACAAGGTACTTTTTCTCCTGGCTTCATGTTTCGAGATATTTTATAACAGCGATAGAATAGAAGTGTTGTATTTATTATACTGTTCTGGTTACCACATTGTGACATAACTTTTTAATGTTTGTATAAATTTTAAATAAAATTCTGAATATAATTTTTTTTAACATAACTCTTATTGTATTTATTTAATGTATTTTATAACATCGCAACATATGCATTTGACATTGTTTGACATCTATATATGACTTCCCAATCATTAGAACTGAAGAAGTGCAGAAATACTGCACGAAACGGTTTCTATTAAAAGATTGAAATAGTTTTTTCATTTTTTATTTCTTCTTGACCGATATCCTCATTTATAGTGAGATTTTAATCTCACTCACAGTGTGTATATATATATATATATATATATATATATATATATATATATATATATATATATATATATATATATACATAATCTAAAATCTAAGCTCTCGGAAAGAGCCGCGTTGGGAATTTAATACTCGACGTTTCGGCACTCATTTAGGAGCCATTATACAGGGTATACGGTTCTGTTCCGCTTCGGGGTCTCAATCTACTCACTCCTGAGTGTCAAGTTCTGAAATTTACATTGACAGCAGAATTCAGCTTGTTCGTATGATTTTTAGAGGTTCAGTGACATTTTCGTCCCTTACGACTGGAATATTACTGCAGATTTAAAAAATGGAACTGAGCTACTCATAAATTGATCAACAATTTGGAAATCTTAACTTTACAGGACTGAATCCTTCCAAAGCATACTATATTATAGTTTCTTGCTGCCACATTAGTTAAGGACTTTACCGCTAATATCATGATTTTTCAATATCACAACTTATAAATATGGGGATTTTACTAATCTTATCGTAAAACAATACCTTCTACGGCTTCTTCATCCAAAACCACAGTTATTTGTTATTTTTGAAAGATTTTAGATTAGTGCAAGGTAATCGGATAAAGCAAGGTATAATAATTTTCCACATAATTTTCGTTACAGCTTTTAACTCCATATTTTTTTGATGGATGTACCGATTGTATATACCAAATAAATGTTTTATAAATGGAACTGTTATCGTGAATGATGCTTTTTATGTTTATAGTACATAGTTCTTTGCAACTATCGTTTATTATGTTTTAATATGACCTTCACCAATGCAATATCATCATTTAACATGACAAATCAATAAAATAATTGAAATTATTATTCAATATTCAAGTACTATTTATCTACTCTCCAAATGACTAATACTAAGATTTACGTCAATTTTGCAGTTAACATGTATTTTGATTATTTGCCACTAATTGTTACTATAGAGTTAATAGACTTTAAAAATTATTTCTTTCATGAAAACAAGAATTGTTAAAAATGTGAATCCAGTGTGTGCATTTTAATTTTAATAAAATTGAAATGCAATAATTATTAAAGTATTGAAATGTAGTAGAATTTGATGTCGATATTTGAAGAAAAAAAAAATAAGAGTTGGATTTACAAAACTTTTCCTAAATAGAAACAATATCATGAGTTTTTTTTTTGGTTTTCTTTATTATTTTTCAACGGATATTAACTGGCTACCATGATTGAATATTATGAAATGTGTGTTATTGGTGAGGGCCAATAACATAGTATGATTCCTTGTCCGATAAATATTATTGTGTTGAAGTTCAATTCATGTAATCAAATGAACTATCTTCAAAATTTATCTCAAATACAATTTTAAGATCTTATATTTTAAAGTACGTGTCTATATTGTCGGTATATGTAGGGAAAATAAAATTATGAAAGAAAATTAGTTTTTTTTTGTTTTCAATGAAACAAACTAATAGACCAGAGACCTAACGATTTTCCCTTGACACTCCTTGATACAAGTATGTAACAATTGCTTTTGATAAATTTAGTAATAACAATATGTAATAAAAAAAACGCAAAAGATTAAGTGTCATTTTTGACTTATAAATAATATATAAACAATGTAAGATCGCTATTTAATTTTTAAATATTAAAGGCGAAGACCTATAAATTATATGGAATAGTGACACAATTTTACTGAAAAAGTATAGAAACTCTTTCAAAATGAGAGTTTGTAAAGTTACTTTTGTTAATTTGTTGCTTAATTATTGGGAAAATAACTTTAAAAGTTGATTTTTTTTTAATGCATAATGCATGAATTCTGAAAGCACCAAATTGAAGAGAAAAGACTTATTTTATGAAATAAAATCATTATACGATTAAAAACTTTATGTTGAATATTGTAAAATATATTTTCAAATGTACCTACTGGGATTTTCAGCTTCTAAACAATTAAAATAACTAATTAATTAATATTTAACTCTATTTAATTCTTTTTATTCACCATGTTGGCATTTTTACACGAATTTAGAAAAAAAAAAACATAATGTCATACATTATACAGAACGAGTTCAAGTTTAGACAAAAAAAATTAAAAACGATTTACAAAACTTTACAAATGAGCCGTCTATAATGCGCCAAAGATAAAAAAAAGCAAAGCGCATTTAAACCATTTATCTGAACACTGAATCCATAAATTCAAATTTATAAAAGTCTCAATATCTTCGGTTGTAATCAAAATTGTTAGTCAAAATTTTAAAATATTCGTTTATTAGAACAGAGATCTTGCGACTTTTTTAAATTTAAATTTATGAATTCAATGTTTTAAATAGTAAAATCGATAAATAGAAAAGGGCCAACTCGGGTTCTAAGGATCTAAAAAAATTTCCAATAAGAAAATTTGAAGAAAACTTCCTATATGTTGACGCGCCGTGAGTAATTTTACATTATTTAACATAAATTTATTAATCGTTAAATGATTTTAATTTGATAAAATAAGCCTATTTCTTCAATTTGATGCTTTTAGAATGCATTAGACCTAATAGATTACGCATAATAACGTTTACTGGAACTAACTAATTACTGGAATAAACTATTTTAAATTTTCCAATAACTGTTAAGTGAAAATTCTTGAAATTTTTATAGCTGAATACATGTGATGTTATCCCTAGTATAACGCATAATTAATTAAAGCTTTTTGTGCATTTTTAGAAAAACTAATATTTTTCAAAAAATCTATTTTTGAAGATATTTTTGCAATAATTAAACAACAAATTAACAAAAATAACTTAAGCTCTCATTTTAAAGGATTTTCTATGCTTTTTTAGTAAAATTGTGTTACTTTTCCATATAATTTACCGGTCTTCACTTTTAATATTTAAAATCAATACATTGTTTGTATATTAATTATAAGTAAAAATATAATTTAATCTTTTTCATATTTTGTTTATTGTTATAACCAAATTGATGAAAAGCAGTTGTTAGATACCTAAACCAAAGAGTGTCACGAAAAAGGCTTTTTATTTGCTAATTTCTCTGGTCTATAACAAATAGACTCTGTTTTGTAAGTTTTATAATTTGAAAGAAAAAACTAAAAATGAGCTGAATTGAAATAATGTTCACAAAATATATTAAACAATTTCCAAAACTAAAAATCTTTTATTTGGGTCAAACAATTCATATTAGACCTAACTTTTTTTACAGTTTCAAAGGTTCATAGTATACCAAGATTATTTTTTCAGGAATCAAGCTGAAATGGCTCACACTTGTCGTGGTAGCATATCCCTTCATGGTGCCTTAATATACACAGTTGATGCTTGTACTTTTGTTATTTCAAACGGAGGAACTCAAACATTTCACATAAAGGCTGCTTCAGAGGTAGAAAGACAACAATGGGTGACTGCATTGGAATTAGCAAAAGCCAAAGCTATGTAAGTAATGCTTTTTATCTAATATTGTTAATAATGTAAATAATTGTAATATTGGTGTAAACTTCTTTAGATAGGATTCCCAATTAAAAAATATTGCAAATTTATCATTAGCCTCCTTTGCTCGGCAATTCTGGTAAAAAAACGTTAGTATTAAATTAATTCCAGGCCTAATTTTAATCAACTAAATTGTGTATAGTTTCTTTATATGTACTATTTATTTAATTATTTTCTAGAAGTAATATGTCTTTTAAAACTCAATGGTGGTGACTATTAGACTACAAGCCCATGGAAGATTTTTATTGTGTCATTTGACCCAGCATGAACCACATAACAATACTACAATATGTAATAACAACTTTAGAAATTATGGCGTCAATTCCTCGAGGTTCTTACATTTAATCAGTTAACAATCAAAAATTTAGTTATTGCCGACAATTCAAAGAATTATTTCCTTTTAAATGTAGTTACATTGGGTTTTTTGATTAACTTTAGGTACACCTTTGCACACCAAAGTTTAAAGCTTGTCGCTCACTCATGCACTGCAACGCGAAGCGCGCCGAACAGAATTTCTTCGCCTAGGATTTTACGGTTGCGATCCGTGTCTCTTCTGTGTGCAGCGCGTTACTTCGCACAGATACGCGCGAGTATATTTAACCACATGAAGAAAATTCATATCAACCTTTTTCTCCGCGCTTCGCTTCGCGTTGCAGTGCATAAGTGAGTTTTTTTCACATAGTAACAAAAAAACCACTATGTTGTTACTAGCTAAGTTTTTTAACATTCTAACTCTACAATTCTAAGTTACGGTAAGATCAACAGTGTTTTTAATAGATAATATATGATAGCTAATTATAATTTCTTCTCTTTCAGCACTGAAGAAACCAAATTAATTCTCTTTGGCGAAAACGTTCGGCGGAACAATTGATACTCATTAGAGTCTTTCTTGTCTTTTTTCTTGCAGATGTCTCCAATATTTAAGAGTTTACTATTTAATTTATCTGCAAAGATTAAATTTCTTTTCTATATATATATATATATATATATATATATATATATATATATATATATATACAGTATTGTGCGCGAATTAATGTGAATAAACAGAATTAATTTGTAAATATGATTGATTTAGGCCAAAGGTAAATTTTGATGATTTCATTAATGGGACTTACTAATGGGATTCATTAACGGGAAAAGGACTTGGATTGTTTCATCTCTTAACCACACCTTAATTACTACTTCTATCATTTTTGTTTTTATCGTACAGTAAAATTTTTGCAGTTTAGCCCTAGATATTGCTCACAAATTTTCAATAGGATTAAGGTAATAGTATTATTATCCTTGAAGTATTCCATCATAACCTTCGATACATGGCACGGAGCTGAATATTATTAAAAAATTACAGTCCCTTAGGCCTGTAATTTGTCAAGCTCTATAGCTAAATGTTGTCCTCGTATGGCTTTGTACTTTTCACTGTTCATAATACCTTCAATAGGAATATTTAAGAGTTTATTATTATATATATATAATATATATATATATATATATATATATATAGAAATGATTTCAATATGTTATAAAATATACAACTTAAATGGATTTTTATATGAGTTTGTTGTTTATGAATTTCATGAAGCCATCACAATGTGGGTTCAACTCTGAAATAAAAGAGAGAAAAAGATTAGTAAATTGTTAAATAAATTAATTTTGAGTTACCTGGTATAGTGTTAATAATTTCTGAATAGTATAGTTGCCTAGTGTACAGGTGAATCGTCTAAACCTTAAAAAGAACAAAAAAAGAAGAATTTTAAACAAATATTTAAACATAGAAATTTTAATAAACGTCAGAAAATAAACTGCTTGACAGTTTATTTGACAGTCTGTGGGAGCTAAATTAATAGGGGTTTTGTTAAATAAGAAATTACAATGATGTGGAGATGAAAAGAATAAATTAGTATTGTAATAGAATAAGTTTTATATCTAAACATTTTTTTTTTATAAATTCCCAAATTAGATGTGATTAAAGTGATTATGAGAAAGTAATGTGGCTTGACAAATATGTCAAACAGGACAGTTTTATGGTTTAAAATATTTAAATAGAAGATAGAAAAAAGAAAGAACGTTGGTTGCTGTTAGCAACGGATGATAAATAGGAATTGGTTTTTTGGAGAAGACGCCGACGATAATTTTTGGACGAAAGGAGCCCCGAAAACTGTGGATAGTCCGAGAGTGTTTTCAAATCGTTTAATCAAAATATAGTTTTTCCACAGCAGAGATACTCAGAATTTGTTTCAGTGAGTAAGAGAAACCATTCGACTTATAAATTATTATTGAAGTATAGAAATGTCATTGAAATTGAGAAAATTAAAATTCATGAATTAACATAATTGCGATAGGCCTTAAAAATTGAAAATATTAATGATCATTAAATTAAAAATAGAATAGTACGTACCTTAACTTCCGAAGAGAGGATTGATATTCCATTTTCACCGATTATTTTTGAGTAGTTAGTTTCCTTTAAAGAAATCAGAACTGTTTTAAAGTGAGGTTGGACAATAATTTGGGGATCATTTGAAATTTTGATTATATTTGAGTTATATTATATTTGAAATTTAAAGTCAGCGGAGTAAAGTGTTCAGTTTCTTTTTCTTTATAGTTCATTTAAACACTTTATAAAGTTGCAATATTTATTTAGTTTTTAGGTACTTGTAGAGATTCTCCACATTTTGTAATACATTTTTTTTTTGTCACGTCATTAAACCACGTTAAGATTTAAACGATTCCTATTTTTGTAAATTTTTAAAGGCAACCGAAGTTGCAGACGAATTTTATTGTTTATATTAAAGTTGTTCAATATTAATAAATAACGTGCTTCATTTGGGTTAATTTATCAAAAGTCTAAAGTAAATTTTGGTTTCATTTTTTTTTAACTCTACCAGGAGACTACAGAGTCGACGTCACACAGTGACAGATTGCTTAGAACACATAATTGAGCTAGCTGAGGTATATTAAATTAAACAACGAACCACATATTTTAAAAATTACATTTATTATAAAAAAATTTAAAATTAATAAAATACAACTTTTTCAATTGACGCTAACAACGTGGGGCCTCTGGGAAAACAGAAATAAGGGTGTTTTTAAGCAGATTTATTAATATTACACAGATTAGAGTAAAAATAAATTGGTGTGATTAGAGTTGCAGAGATTCTGGGGCAGTTAAAGTTAAATTTGAGAATAAATAGATATTAGGATAAAATGGCAGACCCAATGACTTTAAGAAATGGAAAAGAAGTAGTACCGAAAGTGAGTAAAGGAGAACAGGTGTTAGAACAGGAACAGGATATACAGGTAGATGAAGAAAGCAGAGGAGGATCAGGAGAAGTTGTAGTATATTTAGAGCAAGGCATACAAGAAGCAGGACAAGGTGATAGAGAGGGAAGTCTAACAGATAGTTTGAGAGAGAAGTTGGATGAGACAGTGAGAGATAGACGTGATGAAAGTGAGGATGAAAGTAGAGTGCAGGAGGAGAGACGCAGGGAAGGAGATGTTGGAGACTCAGGGATGACACAGATGGATATGAGGCAAATAATGCGGATGCTACAACAGATGGATCATAATGTTAGGGGGGATATGCACAAAATGGATAGTAATATTAACAATATTTGGGGGGATATGAACAAAATGGAAAATAATATTAAAGGAGAACTTAGGGAAGAGTTAATTAAAATGAGGGAAGAAATCAAAGAAGAAGTGAAGATAGTCAGGGAAGAGATGCTACACATTACCCAAGGTTTAGAAGAGAAAGTAGAACAGGTCAGAGGAGAAAGTGAGAATTTTAAGAGGAATGTACAGGAGGAGATATCCAGAGAAAAGGTCATAATTAGAGCAGAAATAGGACAGGAAATTGGGAGCAGATTTGTAGAGTTGGGAACATCCATTCAAGAGAATTTACCAAGGGAAATAAACAAAGAAGTTAATAAGCAGAATAAAGAGATTGTTAGGGAGGTAGAAAATGTTAAAAGGCAAACTCAGGATCATGAGGAAAAACTTACCAATATCAAAAACAATATAAAGATGGGATTGCAGAATTTGGAACTGAAAATGGATATGCATGCAAATCAGGCGGAAAAGGGAGATAGAGTATTACAGGGACAAGTTGAGGAATTGAGAGAGAAATTTAAAAATGCAAGTGAAGAGATTCAGCGTTTGGAATCAAATCTAGGACAAACAAGGGGAGTGAGTACTGTGATGCCGAGTTATAATGATGGGGGAATTAAGTTTGACGGAAACCTGAATCACTTACATCCTAGAATATTTGTAGATATCATCAAAAATAAGGTAAAGAATGTAAGGGATCCGATAGAAATGAAATTGAATATTCGAAACATGTTAGTGGGCATGCCATTATTATGGTTTTGCAATAATGATAATTCCATAAATAATGTGCAGGAATTTGAGGCCAAGTTTATTAACTATTTTTGGGGAGAAAACCAACAGGCTAGTTTCAGGGAGCGGTTGTATTTTGGTAAATTCAATTATGAAAAAAGTACCAACTACAATCTGTACGCAATGCAGTTATTCCAGACAGCACAATACTTAGAACCGGCTATGCGAGAAGAGGAGATTGTCCTATACATCGCCAGGCAATATAACCATAACATGGCGGAAACAATAGCTCTCCACAATATAAAGACGATGGAAAGTTTGACAGAATATCTTCAGAGGATTGAGAGGAGTGTAGGGACGCAGAATCGAAATGGACAAGAGCAAGGGACATATAGGAATAACACAGCAAATAGACAGGGATATGTGAATCGAGGGAATAATTATAGGGAAAGAGAATTTGAGAGACAAAATAGAAGCAGGGATTTTACAAATAGGGTAGAGAATATGAACAATGTCAGGAGAGATATCGGAAGATATAACTGGGAACGTAGACAAGAGAATCCAAACAATGATAGAGGGAATAACTGGAGACAAGGAAATGACAGAGGCAA